TCTTTTCTGAAAATTTCTAACATATCAAACTCCTTCAATTTCCACTACATTTAATTAATGATATCTAATCATAACTTTAGCAATGCATTAAACACAATTCCGTTTATATTTTTAAATGTAATAAGCAAATGTTTTTGCTAAAGTGGTAGATCGTGAGTCAAGAATGTTCTATGAATCTCTAAAGATGCAATACGTGTCGACAATCAAACTCTGTTAATATAAAAAAGTACAGTTAATGGGATGTCATATTCGTCGATACATCGAATTGTTTGCTTTTTGATGAACATTTTTTTTGTTCAAGAACACCGGTTAACTGAATTACGGATGATAACACCGAATAAAGACCACTCACCATCTGTAAAGTAATTACGATATTATTATGATATTTATTAATTTCTATCACATTATCATATAACTTACTCTAATCACAAAATTTTTCTTGACAAAAAAGAATCCATTTATACATATTCCGAAAGGTCTTCCGCCAAATTTTTTCATAAAGTCGACAATCTGTGTTAAAAACAGAACAAATTTCTGTTAATAACAATATTACAGTTATGTTATTTTTTAAAATTTTCTTACTTTAAACTTATATTCCAAAGGCAGATTACTAGAAGAGAATCTTCCTACAGAAATGTAATTATCGTACATCTGAAATAAAGACGAAAATATGTTAATAAATGGTAATCATTATGTAATTATTTCCCAGCTAGAATGCTTTTTAACTTTCACAACTACATTTTATTTCACTGAAAATTATTTATTAATTATTCATTAATTGCAATTAATAAATAATTCTCAGTGAGATAAGATGTAATTGTGAAAGGTAATTACTACGATAATACAAAATACTTACAATTGAAGTTAGTATCGATAATGCCCAAGAGACTGCAATAGTTCCGATTAAGAGAATCACGGCTATAATTATTGTGGCGTTTTTCAACACTGGTACCATATTCACAAAAATGGCGCCGTACAATACAAATCCTGTCACGTAAATGAAATGAGCATAGATCGCCGGTAGTAGAACATCCCATTGATTATTAAGAATGATGAAATAACTTTGTATTTCAAGATGCTTGTATATAAAACGTTCCAAAAACGAATTCAACGAAACGTCGTCGGTTTTTCTTTCCGCCAATTGATAGGTCATCACGACATATCTTTTCCCCAAAATTACTAAAATTGTTACGTACATGGCGAAAACCGAAAATATCTGACCGACACCGTAAAAGGCCCATATTGACAATGAAAAGGTACAATACAATGCTTCCATTTCACTGGAATTTGTAAGTAAATGGGAATACCAAACAGTGAATAACAGTAAAGAAATTGTTATCATGGTGAAATAAAATATTACAAGTATTATCATTAGGTGTACTTCCATTTTCATTGCCAATTGGTCTTCTCCGTCGTAACTGCTTTCAGGAAAGTGGAGCGATAATTTTCTTCTTTTCGTGACGCTGAATAGATAAGCGACGTACATCGTTATGATTAATATTACAAAAATTGCTTGTTTCCCGTAGGAATGGAATAAATAAATGATTTCGCCACAGTAAACCGAATCCATTGTGATAATTAATGTTAAATGAATGACAGTGTACCATAAAAATACTTCTATAAATCGAGTATACCAGATTTAGATGACAGCACGGATGGAACAAGTCCACTCCAAATACTTTAACAGCGGAAAGCAATGGATTCATGATACGTGAAGGACAAGTGTGATGCTCAGAGTAAGCAGCATCAGACATTTTCATGAATTGTATTGTCAGCGATTCCAGAAACTCAGAAAGAAAGCAAATAATAATTGCCAAAATGTTTATATTGTGACTTGAAATTATTTAGCTATTATAATACATAGGCTGCTCACAGTTCTGTTCGCACTGTTCTCACACAGTGGCCAAATGAATAAAACCACAGAAACGTGTTATGCTTGTTCGTGCATCATGAACAAGCTGGCCACGTGGAGCATATCATATACATGAAGAAAACTAGGTTTTCTTCATGTATATGATACCTAAATACGTAATCCTCCCGGGAATGGTCTCTCCTTGTCAGATCGCCATGCGTTGCATTGCCTTACACCTTCAAACCAAAATTGAATGGAGTAGAACTAATTATTTCCGATTATGTTATGTTATGAAACGAACATAATCTTATTAATGTTTGGATTTCTGAGAAACGACTTGTAAAGTCTACATTTTTCTTGATAATAAACCAGAATACGTCCTGTAACTTACGTGAAAGCATTCCTTTAAGAATTGAATGCTTTCAAGTAAATTGCTTAATAATAATTTTATCGTCATTTCAATATGAGAAAACATTAATCATTAAATTGATATTGTTATTTGCTCTTTTGTAGATAAATGGATAAATATTTCATTATTGTAAATGGCTAACAAACAGTTGTTCACTTAATGTATTTATTTTGAATTACAGTTTATACACGTGGTTTAGTAGCTGAATATTTGTATGTTTATTTTTCTTAATAATTCATCTGTTAAACTTCCACCCTAGTAGATAATTCTTAAATTATTTAGGTACACTAGACAAAATTTTTGATCTGATACAGCACAAATTATAAATTTTGTAATATATCACTAATCTTTTATATTATTAGTGTATATAGCAAAGGACAAGTACGTCTTTGAAATAAAATGTGACCGTTCGTAGGCTTTTTCATTTCGAGAAAGAGAGTTTACAATGTATCATTAAATTTGGAGAGTTGTGTAAATCGAGTGACCAACGCATTCTCAATTGTATCGATCATAGGGAAAAAGACGTTTATTTTTAAACAATTCTTCAGGATTTGTTGGTGTCTCACCTACGACCTCGTATTTAAATAATCACTTCTTTCTTCGGAATCGGACTTGAAAATAAGATCTATCCCAGCCTGAAAAGCAATTTTCCTAGCTATTATTACAGCAAACGAATAACGCCGGTACTCTTTTATAAATTCATAGCAGTTCTTCAGCAATTGTATAGCGTTTGGTAAATCCATAGTTTCAGACTGCATAGCCTTGCTTACAATGTTTACTTGAAACAATATATCATACCAAGCCACTATTGTTACTATAAACTCAAATTGCTCCATGATCTGGACAAGGCCTCTGATGCTACAACTGGGTCATTCGTGAAGATCCAGAAGGGCGACACAAACTGAAAAGTAGTGATAACGAACTGCAGTGAGGCTAGAAACTCTACTCTCCCAACCAATTTCATAAATTTTTTCAGCGATAGTCCTTCTATGTGCTTGGATATCACTTTTTCGGACATTTAATATAAAAGTACAATAATTTTGCGATAATAGTACGCGTACAGAAACTTAGAACTAATTCTTACTCACTAACTTATAATCAAAGAGGGTAGAAAATTATATGAGAAGGTAGATAGAAAAAGAGCAAGATCAAACTAGCCTGGATTCTCTTTATTTCGTGAACACTGGATGGGCACCAGCTCGGATTCTGCAGATACACCAGACGTGATTTTTCTTCTCTTTCTTTAAAATCTGGACTTCCGTCCAACGTTGACTCTGGAGTTTTCTATTTTTCTAACGTAACCAAAATGTCCTTCCTTCGGAATTATTCAGTCTCAAGTAGCCGCTAATCGCCTACTCGCGATCTGGAGCGCTCTTCTCTTTACGTCTTACTCCCACGAAGGTCCGGTCAAGACTAACCCGTTTTTTTTGTCTTATCGGACCTCGAGCCTTAACTATCCCATTGTCTTATGTTCTTGGAACTGGTGGTCTATTGTCTTCAGTTCTTCGGATTGGTGGTCCCACCGAAAGGGAATGGAAGGAAATGAAAAGAAAGTTCTAGAAAGATGGAGAACAAAAGGGAATAAGGAAATAAATGTTTAAATATTGGTTTCTTTAATCTTGGTATTTATTTTGGCAGATAGGGTTAAGTAGTAATGAGGTGATCGTGTTTTATTTTTTTCGCAGACGATCTATCGTTGCGTTTTCGGCGGCCCCACTATGACGGCACCCGGTGCGGTCGCACCGTTAGCACCGCCCTAGGGCCGCCCCTGCTTGGAGGGTGATTAATTGATATCCAACAACGGTGTCTTGGATGGAATAGTCCACAGACGAGTGAAACAGACCACAACAGAATATCCAACGAATTTCCAGATTGGGTAACGCTCGTGTGTCGGTCCAAAGGTTGCAGGATGTTACGCAGTAAATCCTTTTCGGGAGTCGGGTCCGGGAAACGACTAAACGACGACTGACTGTATTTGTCTTCGCTCTCCCTTGTTATTTTGGCTCCTCTTGGGTTTTTTCCATAAGGTCAGGAGCTTGTTGTTAATGGTCTGGCGTCCAATACTTAAAATTTATCGAAAGTTCCAGGAGACACACTAATTACTAGATGGATCATCCTCAATAAGGAAACAAGTTCGTGGGAAATAATTTTAATGGATTTTAACCTAACTTTTGATAAAATGATTGAAGTTAGACGATTGAATTTTAAAATAATTAAAGTTTAAAATAACACTTTATTGAGGGGCCATTCGTCCTTCACAAAAACTTCAACATTAATTTACCAATTTTTCAACTTTTAGTATAAAGTTACTTAGGTATTGTAAATTATCGATATTTGTAAGTATAACTACAATATCAACATTTGTGCAATTTATCTTTATAATTAAATAACATAAGAAAAAATGTATATTTTCTTTTGAGTAAAAGTTACTTTTAACACGTTAATTTAAACTTTTGGGTTTAACAATATGCCTAAAATTATCTTCTAGTAATGTTTCTTCTATCAACAATACGGATTCGATTTCGTATCTTCCACTGTAAGGTGACCAAACCGTCTGGCCGAAGTACCAATAATTAGACGATAGATTTGAACTTGAATTTACAGGTAGTTTATTAATTAACGAATTTGAAACGACCAATACAGTGGCTATTTTATATCAAGAAAGTTCGACGTATTGAAGATAACAAAAAATCAGATACGATGTTACAATCATAAAATAAATTTATTTATAACCTTTAGTTAATATAAAACACAACAAATATTGTGGAATATAATATTGCATTTCTCTGCTCAAGGTGCAGTAGCACAGAAGTCAACATGCAGTAATTAACTTTGTGTGACAAACACAAACTAAATTGATCTAACGAGTGCTCTTTTCTGAAAATTTCTAACATATCAAACTCCTTCAATTTCCACTACATTTAATTAATGATATCTAATCATAACTTTAGCAATGCATTAAACACAATTCCGTTTATATTTTTAAATGTAATAAGCAAATGTTTTTGCTAAAGTGGTAGATCGTGAGTCAAGAATGTTCTATGAATCTCTAAAGATGCAATACGTGTCGACAATCAAACTCTGTTAATATAAAAAAGTACAGTTAATGGGATGTCATATTCGTCGATACATCGAATTGTTTGCTTTTTGATGAACATTTTTTTTGTTCAAGAACACCGGTTATCTGAATTACGGATGATAACACCGAATAAAGACCACTCCCCACCTGTAAATTAATTACGATATTATTATGATATTTATTAATTTCTATTACATTATGATATAACTTACCCTAATCACAAAATTTTTCTTGACGAAGAAGAATCCATTTATACATATTCCGAAAGGTCTTCCGCCAAATTTTTTCATAAAGTCGACAATCTGTGTTAAAAACAGAACAAATTTGTCTTAATAACAATATTACAGCTATGTTATTTTTTAAAATTTTCTTACTTTAAATTTATATTCCAAAGGCAGATTACTAGAAGAGAATCTTCCCACAGAAATGTAATTATCGTACATCTGAAATAAAGACGAAAACACGTTTATAAATGGTAATTATTACGATAATACAAAATACTTACAATTGAAGTTAGAATCGATAATGCCCTAGAGACTGCAATACATCCGATTAAGAGAATCATGGCTATAATTATTGTGGCATTTTTCAACACCGGCATCATATCAACAAATATGGCGCCATACAATAGAAATCCTGTCACGTAAATGAAATGAGCATAGATCGCCGGAAGGAGAACATCCCATTGATTATTGAGAATGATGAAAAATCTTTGTATTTCAAGATGCTTGTATATAAAACGTTCCAAAAACGAATTCAACGAAACGTCGTCGGTTTTTCTTTCAGCCAATTGATAGGTCATCACGACATATCTTTTCTCCAAAATTACTGAAGTCGTGACGGCTACGGCGAGAACCGAAGATATCTGACCGACACCGTAAAAGGCCCATATTGACAATGAAAAGGTACAATAGAATGCTTCCATTTCACTGGAATTTGTAAGTAAATGGGAATAACAAACAGTGAACAACAGTAAAGAAGTTGCTATCATGTTGAAATAAAATAGTACCAGTATTTTAATTAGGTGTGCTTCCATTTCCATTGCCAATTGGTCTTCTCCGTCGTAACTGCTTTTAGGAAAATGGAGCGATAATTTTCTTCTCTTCGTCACGCTGAATTGATAAGCGACGTACATCGATATGATTAATATAACAAAAATTGCCTGTTTCCCGTAAGTGTGAAATAAATAAATGATTTTGCCACAATAAACCGAATCCATTGTGGTGATTAATGTTAAATGAATGACAATGTACCATAAAAATACTTCTATACATCGAGTATACCAGAGGAAAGTTGTTGAAGAGGCAGTTAGATGACAGCACGGATGGAACAAGTCCACTCCAAATACTTTAACAGCGGAAAGCAATGGATTCATGATACGTGAAGGACAAGTGTGACGCTCAGAGTAAGCAGCATCAGACATTTTCATGAACAGTATTGTCAGCGATTCCAGAAACTCAGAAAGAAAGNGTTCTGTGGCATGGATTTGAGAATTTCATAATTTGTCCATAGTAATTTGATACTTTATTTATATAAATTAGAAATAGAAATCGTAAAAATGAAAGTGGCATTTACTAGAAATGTTTATAAAAATAATAAACTACTACCAAAACATATTTTTGTCTGTACAAGTATGTCGTTTGATGGGTTTTAGAGCTGAAATCCCGAAATTTTAAACAAGACATCAAAAATGAAATAATCCTTCATTATCATTTTGCGTGAATTAATGATAGGCCACCGCGAGTTTCATCGGTGTTACTTGACACGTGAACTTGAAATCTGCAATGAATTATTTGTTAAATGAGTCCGTGTATTGCATCGGTATGGCAAGATAAATGAAAATATTAAAAGAATACTCACACAATGCTTGTTTAAAGAATGTTTGCATTTGGTGATCCGTCGATAAAGCAAGAGAAGTGGAATTTCATGTCAGACCTTTCTTCTAATTTAAATTTTATATTATTCGGCAAGAATTACCTTGAGAGGATTAGATTTAATTCTGTACCTGTGCAAACTACACCTCGGAAGAAGTACAAATCCTGTACGTTACATTACTTCGTCGATCTCCAAAAGGAATGCAACGTAAAGAATGTCACGCATCTTACAAAAACGTGTGTCAAAAAAGTATATGTTATGCGTATAAAGATTAATTCTGTTTAGACAATGCTTCGTTATAATCTGTAATCTTAAGAATATTCCATTATTCGCTATGTTATTAAAAATATTTTTATAAGGCGTTACAGGGCGACAGATTTTTAATTTCATGTTTCTAATCATTATTTAGTAATCCCGAAAAATGTAATAATTTGAATAATGGTCCACCAGTGGTCGAGTGAGTAATACTACTAGTCGCGGGTTCGCACCTCAACCAGCTGACCACGTGAAGTTTTCCGGATTTCCTCATTTGCCTAACATCTGAATGAGTCTGTTTTCCCTCGTTGGCATAGCGTACACATATTGTGTTGCCTTATTCTAATCCAATCTAATTATTGAGTAGATTCAAATATTGCACAGCAACATGATTGGGCTGTGCAATATTTGAAATAATCAAGATTAACTAACATCAGCCACCGATCCCAACAAATTATATTCGTGATTATCTGCAACTATTAATTCTTTTTCCATCGGAATTTCTATCCACAATGGCATATTCAAATTAGGTCAACAATATTCTATTGTTTACGTAACACAAGGTTACAATATTGATACCAATCAGATAATTCGTTTTATTCATTTAAAAACTAGTTTTTTTTTTATTCTAAACATTGTAACTGAGGTGACTTAATAAAAAGTTAGGCCATTTTGTATTTAAAATTCTGCCAGAAATGTAATAAAAAAATAGTTCAATGAACACCACATTTTACATAATTAATATGTTTTATTAGTTTAAACATATGAACTAAACAAAGTAAAGAAATAAAGATATTTAAAAAAATATATTTGAACATTAGCATTGCAAAGACTAAATTTTATAATCATTTATAGTGTATTGCTACAAAACAATATTATGGTAAAATTTTTCAGGTATTTTGAAATTGCCTATAATGATAGTATGTATATAATTCAATGGACAAATGCTGATAATATTGATTGACAAGAATTTAAAACAATCATCTAAAAACTCCATAAAATAAACTAAATTCTGAGAAAAGGGGTGTCCGTAAGTCTGGAACCACAGGAGTTATATAGGGCTTTGATTATTGTCTTACAGAAGTGTGGCACTAGTAAGGAAGAATGAATTCATACTATTTTAATAGTGGGGATCTGCAATCAGCATGAAGCCAGAAAACAGTTTAACGTACTACATCTAGACTTCCCACCATTCACACACAGAAATCTGGATGCAGATTGTTAAACTCTTCAGCAACATCTCACCGACTATGGGTTTGTACCATTGTTTCTCCTTATGAAGTTCCATGCTTTACCTATAAAATAACAAAGATGAACATAACTGCTATGGCTCCAGACTTATGGAACACTCTTTTTAATAAGCTATGAAATTTTTACATTCTTGGCCTAAGTTAAATTTGAGAAATTTTGAAACATAGCTTATTTAATTACTATAAATTCTATTAGGAAGTAATTGAAATTTTACACTGTACTTTACTAAATATATACATTTTCTTCTTCTAACAGTGCCTGAGATTCATTATCATCTAATTAAATCATAGATGATTATTTTCTTAGTTATTTTTTTGATTTATACTAAACAAAAAACAGAAAAATAATTAGATTAACTGGGAAATTATCGAGGCCAAAGTATATTTTTCATAAATTAGAATATTGTATGTTTAGTATTATCAACTGCAAAATTTCATTAATCTATGCCAATTGCATGAATTGCAAAAGACATTGTGTATATTTGATTGGTAATAATCCCGTCTGATGATGATAAATTCCAATAAGAAGACATCCAACAAGCAAATGAATCACTTATATCAAGAAATTATTTATTAAATATCATTACAAGTAAATTATAAAAAAAATTTATTTTAATATAATTTAACAATTAGCAACCAATAATTGAAATTTTATTCCTTTAAGAAAAAGAGAGAGAGAGAGAAAAAAAAAATAGTCACCAGTGAAAAGATCTCTCTGCAATGCAAATTTCTTTAAGAGGTAACCAAGTAAAACTGTATGAAGAATTCTTGCATATATTTATAAAAAAAGAACCAAAATAAAAACAAACAAAAAAAAACAAAAAGCATTCCATTCTATTTGTTGAGGATATTGCAGATGAAAAATGTCCTTCTGTAGTTTGTTGGTAACGTACGAATCTCATAATGCAATGTCTTGAAAATATGCATTTTCAAATATCACAATGAAATTTTTATTTCTTCTCTCCAGTGTAAATGAGAAAACACAGACTGCGTAAATGACGTAGTTGTCACATTCTCTCTGCGAAATCCTTCTAGAAGCAAGGCAACTGATGCGTGTGTTATGTAATAATGTTTGTACCATTTGTTTCCTGCAGCATATACAGGCTGGGTGGCACAAAGAAAAAATAAAAAATTAATCATCGGTTTCTTCTTGTATCTTGGAAATTCGAAAAATGATCTTGCCGACGGCAACGATATTCGTCTCTGTGAACTTCTAATTAATACAGTAACTATGAAGCAAACAAATTATATTCATTATTATACAATGTATAGCTGACTCCATACAGATACACAAAGGCAAATCCCAAATGCAACAACAACACATAATAAACTAAAACAATCCCCTTAAAGAATTAAATTCATAAAAAAATGATAAAATTCAAAACCAAACACATATCCCGTTTACACCTTATTTTAAATCTGTTAAAAGATAAATGCAAAAACCTGCTCCACTTTCACAACAAACACCTGAATACTAAAAAAAAAAGTAAGAGAAAATAAACTGTGGTTAGTCTAAAATGAAGCAAACGGGAATTGCAGGAATTAGACAAAATACCACAGAGCAAAATTGACTTTAAAGATTAATAAATGAAAAGAATGAGGATCAATTTTCAATTTCAATAATAATAATAATAATAATTATAATGATAATAATCTTCTTGTAAGTTCTTACAATAATTAGCAAACAGTATACATGAAATTTTGTTAAAGTCTTCAAAGAGCATGTAATAGCCAGACACACTTCTTTTTACTACATCATAACTGTGGTTCTGACATATAAATTTTTTTTTTCAATATTGCACTTAGTAGCGTGATTATGCAAACACTCAACTTTGAGAAAAATGCAAAGCAACATTGTTTTTGCATAATACTATTAAGCATTCCATTTAGAAATGATCACCAGATCTATGCTGCATTATTGGTAAATGCAATATAGGATTCTATGCTCAATTTGTCTGGGACGTCCAGAAAACGTACAGATTTATCTGCAATATACAATATTTTTTTTATCGTAGAGATAAAACAAAGAAATTTAGCTTACATATGAATGCTTCTAATAACTTTTGTCAAACCAACTAGATTTCTCCTGAGTGCTTTTCTTGGAAAAGTATCCGCAAGTATCTTGCGTCGTCCAGTCCTATGTTCTTATGATACAAAGTGATAGATGTTGTGAATTTAGTGGTTTGGTTTGTGAGTTTAAATACAAACATAGCAGTTTTGCATTCAAGCTTCCATATTTAAACATGCATGAATGAAATTTCATGCTCAGAACAAACTTGTTAACGCCCTCTTTTTGCTACATACTCAATAAGTAAAAGCTTATTGATATCTACAAATAAAAAAGCAGCCTATTTGATTGTTAAAATCTACATATATCTACAGTTTTTAATACATATAAAATTAAAATGATACTGGCCATAATTCACAGTGAGCATACAAAGTATCCTTCCATAATATTCGATAAAATGGATCTAATTTTGAAAGCTTTCATACAGATACCTGTCTTAATTGGCATTAAAACTACGGCAAGTGTGCTGTATTCTCGTTAATTCCAGGCATTTCAAAGAAATACAGCATAGATTTGATCATCATTTTTAAATCTAATGCTGAACAGGTAATGTGCAACAACACAGAACAAGATATTATGACAATGAATTTACTTCCAAAAAGAAATAGATTATCACCAAAAATTTTGCATGTTCAATACTTGCCTACTTTTACAGATCCATATATTACAACTTATGAACTTCTAAAATATGCAAATCGATTGTTTGTTCTTCTAGCATAACATGAACTCAGGTAAAGTTCTGTTTGCGTCGATTGATTACAACAGTGAACATTGTGAATAAATTCATTTTTTGTAAGGAACACACCACATTTTCCATTGGAATGCAACAGACAGATACATTTTTTTGACATATATTGTTAGAATGTATAAATATTTAGCATAAAATAAATACTTTCAATAAATCTCATTTTTTTTAATTGTGTAATTTTGATAAAAAGTTAAAGTAGTAAAATTTACAATAGTTTAGTAAGATTCAGTGAGAATTAAGTAATCCAGGATTAATTATATCTATATACATTTATCTCAGCAAGATTAGGATCTGGTTAGCTTATTTGGTAAAGTGCTACCTGCTACAGAGTGCTGAGTTCAAGCTCCAAACTGGACAAGATAATATATTTTGTTTTTTTATTTGATTAAATTCACTATTTTCATCATTCAATCATAAGAAAGTCCATCATATACTACTTTTTTTTTTTTTTGAGCAATGTGTATGCATGAAGATGCAAATATGATAAAAAGTTAATCATTTTTTTTTCATACAGATCTTTCAGCTGCATATATTTCTATAGTTTTCTTTATAATTCTTAGTGAAATGTTCACTATATATATTTATTTATTTATATATATATAAATCTTTAAATATATATATATATTTTATTGAATTACACTGTGCATTGGCCTTCTAGTTTCTCATTTATTGTTACTCTAATAATGTTCTTGAAACTGCTTCTTTGCAAATCCTAATTACATCTCTAAACAATGAAAGAATTTCTGTTCTAGTAATTATCTATTTATATTCAGTTCCTGAACGAATTTTTCCAATATTGCACATAAGAGAAAAAAATACTTTCTGAATAGGGAATGATTTTTCAGATAAATTTTTTATAGTATTTTTTTGTATATTATCATTTTGTTTATTCGGTAATTATTATATTAACATGTTCTTCTTCTATTACGTAACTATTTTGATAAATCAAAAGTCGACTTAACGTCGGACTCTTCGTCACAAATTTTATAATGAGTAATTTTTCTAACCGTAATGGCGTTTCAGATGTTGTAGTAGATATGATCTGCATTTAAAACTTTTTGAACAGACATCACATTCAAAAGGTCTTTCTACGGAATGAGACCGTTGATGAAACTTTAAATCCTTGTTATATTTGAAACTCTTCTCGCAAAGATCACATTGAAATGGTCTCTCGTCAGAATGGGTTTTGTGATGTTCCGTTAGCTGTGATTTGCGCTTGAAACTTTTGGTGCAAAGTTCGCATTGAAAGGGCCTGTCTCCCGAATGACAACTTTGATGAAATTTCAAATCTTTGTTGTACTTAAAGCTTTTCTTGCAGAGATCGCATTGAAAGGGTCTCTCGTCCGAATGAGTTTTTTGATGTTCTGTAAATTGTGATTTACGTTTGAAACTTTTTGTGCAAAGCTCACATTGAAATGGTTTCTCTCCAGTATGACAGCTCTGATGAAATTTCAAATCTTTAGTGAATTTAAATCGCTTTTTGCAAATGTCACACTGAAAAGGTCGATCATCAGAATGGGTTTGCTGGTGTTCTGCTAAATGTGATCTACAGTTGAAACTTTTGGTGCAATATTCGCACTGAAAAGGCCGATCCCCCGAATGACAACTTTGATGAAATTTTAAATCTTTACGATATTTAAAGCTTTTTTCACAAACATCACATTGAAATGGTCTTTCGTCAGAGTGAGTTTTTTGATGTTCAGTTAACTGTGACTTTCGCTTAAAACTTTTTCTGCAAAGCTCACATTGAAACGGCTTTTCTCCAGAATGACAGCTTTGATGTCGTATCAAATCTGATTTACTCTTAAAGCTCATTTTGCAAAGCTCACATTTAAAAGGCCTCTCACCAGAATGACATCTTTGGTGTCTCTTTAAATCTGACATATTCTTAAATCGCATTTTGCAAAGATCACATTGAAAAGGTCTTTCTTCAGAATGACGTTTCTGATGCTTCCTTAAATTGGACCTATCCTTGAAACTCATTTTGCAGAGATTACATTCAAAGGGTCTCTCTGCAGAATGACACTTTTGATGTTTTCCCAAATCAGACCTATTTTTGAAACTCTTTTTGCAAATTTCACATTCGAAAGGTCTTTCTGCCGAGTGGCATTTTTGATGATTCATTAGATTTGACCTATTTTTAAAACTCATTTTGCAAAGATCACATTCAAAAGGTCTCTCTCCGGAATGCCATTTCTGATGCTGTATCAAGTCGGACTTATTCTTAAAGCTTTTCTTACACAGCTCACATTCAAATGGCCTCTCTCCAGAATGGTAACTTTGATGTCGAGTCAAGTTTGATCTGCTCTTAAAACTTTTTTTGCAAAGCTCACATTGAAAAGGTCTTTCTTCAGAATGAGTTTTTTGATGCTTTGTTAAATGTGATCTGCATTTAAAGCTCTTTTTGCAAAGCTCGCATTGAAAAGGTCTGTCTTCACATTGATAAGTTTGATGCTGTATTAGATCTGATCTATTCTTAAAACCTGCTTTGCAAAGATCACATTCGAATGGCTTCTCATCGAAATGAAAACTAAGATGCTGTGTTAAGTGAGACTGGCAGATAAAACTCCTTTCACAAAGCTCGCATGGATACAGTCTCACTCCCGAATGGTTTTTTAGATGATTTGTAAGATCGGATTCAAACCGAAAATTTATCTTGCAGATCTTGCAGTAGAAAGGATTCTCTCCAATGTGAACTTTTTTGTGTCTTTGTAAGTGGGCATTCAGGAAAAATCGTTCTTTACAGATATTACAACTGTATGTTCTTTTTCCAATGTGAATCAGTTGGTGAGTTCTGAAGAAAAATTGGTTTTGATAAATCCTTTTACAAAATTCACATTGAAATTTCTTTCCGGAATACAGCATTATACATTTTTTCAAATAATCTTTCCTTGTAACTTTTTTCTTACATAGTTTATATTGATAATATTTCTTTTTTGTATGAAGTGCTATATGCAGTTTTAATTTAAGTTTAAAACCAAATTCCTTTTGGCAAATGTTACATTTAAAATGTTTTTCCGGCTTTTGTATGATATCATTGATATTGCAATCGAGTGGTATTATTTCATCGTCTTCGTCCTGTAATTCAAATCCTGCAAGTAAAATATGTTATATTAATAGTTATTGTGTATTAATCATAAAAATTTTAATAAAATTATACTCAAGCTTTAACTGAACATAATTATTGGATTTTGAATGGTTCTTTTTCTGTGAATTTTTTGTTAACTATGTATGTATGTTTGTATACATAAACCACCTTTAATCCAACAGTAGCTTACAACAAACTAACATCTTTTGATGCCTCAATTGGTTATCATCATCAGTGTAATTTACTACTGAATTAAAAGTTATTGTATTCAAACTGAGACATCCAATTTGTTTATATCTATTGTAAATATGCACATATGAACCATTTGAAATCCAAAAGTTGGCCTAAAGACTATTTGTAGCAAATTAAAATAAACTATTTGCTTATATAATTTATTTTAATTAATCATTTAAATTATATTACTAATCAAATAACAAGCTGAATTTATTACTCTGCAATGTTTTTTGTTATTAATGTACAGTTACGTTATTTACAATAATGAAACTAACTGTAGGATATACAGGTGTTGCAAGTTCAGCTCCTGCTCTGGATCGATCTTTTCTTCCCAAATATTCTAAATGAATTAAATTTAATTCTAATTATTAAAATTAATACAAATGCTCATCTTTAGCCCAAATTACACAGCATTTGTATATTTAATTAGGCAAACTGTAGCCCGAAAATAAATCTAGCTTGTTACTCGATTGATTTAATTAAATCTTCAACAACTTAAAATAATAATTCTACAACAAATTTTAGATGATCATCAAACTTACTTCAAGGACTTGAACTAGGTTTTAAAATGTTCTAAAATCACTAATTATATAAATGACAAATCAAAATATAATAATTATATATCAAATTGACAATAATTTTCAAAACTGGTTTCATTTTTTTCAGTCAAATTCATATTAAAATAAGATTTTATGACTGGAAATAAAATTAATATAAGAAATAGCTGACTTTAATTTTGTATCTAATTGTCAATTTAACTTTACAGTTCGATGAAAGTTTCATGAATATTGAAAGTCTGAAATCAACTGATCTAAGAGAATCAGAAGATGAAGAGTCTTAGCTTTGAAAACAATACTCCAAAATAAATAACACTTCTTAATACATTACTAATTCATTGTATATTGTCAGGAAGTTCTGACATGTTACAATATTCATTTCAGTTAAACGACTAATCCAAGTTTTACTTTTTCAAGATACTATTCGTCCAAGCAATTTATATCGAACTTATACCAATTACAATATAAAAAATATTTTAATAATTAAAAAATGTCTGACTGTCCTAATTTATTTTCCCAATAATTGTTATTTGTAATCATTATTAAATTTTATGAAGTTAAAAGCAATTAAGAAAACTTTAAAAATTTTTAAAGAAAAAGCTTTTAGCAATTCATTTTCTTATAAAAACTAAGCTAGTTTGCTTCAACTTTATACACAATACAGTTTGTAGTTTAGAGGACGCTGATAGTAAAATTATCTCTCTAAACACGAGATCGGCAAAATTTGCCCTTATCTGTTTGAGAGAAATTGACTGAAAGGAAATTTGTTTGACCGGTTTTGCTATGCAAATTCCTTTTGTAACCTGAAAGGTAAAACAATTTCTAGGTACATAGAAAGAACAAATTTTCATAGCTTAAAGAATTCAGGTAGTAGTCTCAAACTTTAACTGAAGAGGCCCACATCAACTGTAAACGACAAGTCTGAGAAACAGATATGAAAGATAAAAGATTAATATTTTTTTATTTTTTTTTACTATATTCCTGAATAATAATGGACATAAATCAATTCTAAATTATTTTTCAAAAAAACAATATCAAAATTGAAAATTAATTTTGTGGTACCCAATATTAAAATCTTTTCATATTGTATAATGATGTTCGATATTCTGATTTTATATTTTGTTATTTTTGGAAAGTTTGTTCGCAAAAGTACACACAAGCAAAAATAGAAATTATCCCTCATACAAACTTCAAGAAGCTTAAAATTCTTTTCTGGCAGAAATTTGTAAAAATTTAACAAGTTCCCTTCTTTAAATAGGTTTTTATAAAAATCATTTGTGGCAAGATCTATTAATTCTAGTTGACTTTTCAAAAGTTTGTATGCTTTGAACTAGTTAAATGTTAATGATAAATCATGTCATCGAAAACAAGCTATGCTTTGGGAGCGCCTGTTGGAGAACCTGGTTTAAGGGATTGAAAATCATCATAAAAATAAAAAACTTCATACCATGTTAAAATTGAGAAATAAAATGAATTTTTAAATATATTTTCTCTTTTAATATAATTTTAAAACATAGCATTTGTCCAGATAAGGAAAAAATACTTTCTTCTTTCATTATCATCATGGACAAACTAATTAAAATCCTTACACAAAAAACTATTAAATATAAAATATATTTTCCTATGTGTATTATTGAAAAAATAAAGCAAGGAATAAAGCTATCATATTATTTGAAACAGTGCTAACAGTGTTATTTATAGCATGTTACACCCAATGTAGTCATGAACAGATCATATTCATTTAAATTTTATTATTTCAAATTTAGACTACACTGAAAATTCAAATATGAAAATGATTAACTTATATAAATCAAACAGAGAACATTAAACTAAAGTTTACTGCATATAAAATTAGTTTATTCCATGTAATATATGTTAATCATCATCATCACAATACAGGGTGTCTATGAAGTCCCACTTTCAGAAATTTATTGATCAAATACCATGGTATTAGCTAATGCTTTATGATTTATACGATATACATAGCACAAGGTGTTCAGGTTTTTATTCACAATGTTTGCATTACAGTGACTCTATAATATTAATGTGGTATTCAAACTCTAGATAACAAATCAAGTGTCACCATGATTACAGCTTCATCAACTCTCATTTCCAGTTTGCACAGATCATGTGGAAGAAGAGCACAAAGATGCTGTTATTTATGTTATCCCTAAGAAAAGACTGCAAGGATCATGGATCCGTGTCATGAGGATTTATCATTGCAATTACATCAGTATGCCAGTCAAGTGTAAGAAAATCATCTGACATGCTATTTTGCCTTACACCTGATGCATTCTGATATATCAGCCAGGTAATGAGCTGTAAGTTACTAAAAGTGAGACGTTCTTTACAGACATCCTGTATAATGTATATATAATATGTCAGTAAAAGTATTAACATTCTCTCTTTCCAAACATTTAGAAACTTTTAAAATTTAAATTATAGAAAGCAACAAAGCTAAACAGTAAAGTTATTCTAATTTTTATTAATTTAATAGAAATTTATATTTCCATTAAATAAGACTGACTTTGTACAGTTTTATGTTAAAACAACATATACTTGAAGTAGTCAATCCCTCTTACTCTCTCTTCTGTAATGTCATTTGTATTAGAATTTATTTTACAGTAATTTCAAATGTCAAAGCAAGAGTAAAATATTCAGTACATATATTAATTCAATACAATAATTTCAATGAGGGACAACAAATAAAAGTTAGACCATGTTACTTTTCACTTGTTCTTATGAAAAGTATAAGACAATCTTGAACTAGCTGAAAATGTCCTTACTGAAAGTGCTTTTCTGTTCAACTGAAAGTAATTATTTGCTAGGACAATCTGCCAAATTAAAATAAATATAACATTAACCAATATTATTTATTGATGAACAAAACATATATAATGTACAGTACATGGTAACAGAGAGATGAGCAGAACTAAAAATTTAGAAAGCTGTTAAAAAAATTTCAAAAAGATTGATAATGATGTTGTTGTGCAAGTCAGTTATTTAATTAATGAAACAATGTAATAGTGAAATCAGTAAAACCATGTTTAAATCAGAGTAGTTTTGAATATGTATACAATAGAAGTAAATTTTAAAGAAATAAACAATGCTTTTAAAGAATTATTGCATCATTATTATAAACAACATTAAGCATTAACAACACAATTAATTTTCATGCTTAATCATCATAGATGACAAAATCAAAAGACACGATTTATATTACAGTAGAGTCTCACAAATTTGACTTAATGTGAACTGAGAAAGTGACAAATTACCAAAAATGGCGAGTTTTACAGCACAGTGACGATGCTAGTCTAAATGAAAGAATTTTCCTAAAGGTATTACATGTGCAAATTCATATATGTATTAACTACATACCAATATTGACTATTTCTATTTGTAGTTAAATTTTAATTATAAGAATAATAGCTATTCAATGGCTACTTCCAATTCAGTGACATTTGCCCTATAGCATTTTGCAGTGGACTTCTTTGGAAAAAGGGTTATATTCTTTGTTAATGTGTGAAATTGATGCTATTATTAAGTGTCACCAGAGAAGAATGATAATTTATTTAATCCTAGTGTTAAGTCATAAAGGTAGAAATTAGATTACATGTATTTTTTTCCTCTGAACAAGAGAACGAGTTTTACGAAATGTTGAGTTATCAAAAGTCAAGTTTCTGGGACTCTACTGTGCTAGATTATGTTTTTATTTGCATGTACAAAATTATCATGGACTGCAAGAAAACAAATGGCATAAATAAACAAACAAACTTATTTCTTATGTAAAATAAAAAAAATAGTAAATACCTTTGCAGCTTTCATTTTTAATTAAATTGTCAATGAAATCTAATTCTGGAAGACTTGCTTTAAAGTTATAAAGGTGATTCTCTTCGTGGTGAAAGAACATCATATTGTTTTGATATGGTTGAGAGAAACCATTCAGGTATGGTATACAATCATAAAAATCTGCATCACTTACAGAATTGAAGTCATCAACATCTTGAAACTGTACAAGAAAGTAAATCATCAATGTTAGTAAAGTAATGAATTTTAATACATTACAAAAAATAAATTGGAAATATAATATAAAGTTAATATATAACAACATATTAATTTCAATTATTATTATAGAATAAAATCTATTGGACCAATTAAAGAAATTAAATGTAGCTTACATGATAGTTTAGTCATCAACTATTATCTAATCCTTAGTTTTTGGAAAATAGGTAACTGTACAGGGTGTCCAAAAAGTTACTTTGCAGCAAGAAATTTGTAATGACGTTAAAGTTATACATATGGTATTGCATACAATTTACAAATCTCATATGTGATGCCATACATATAACTAATTTCTCACTGCACTAATTTTTTGGACATCCTTAAAATGAACAACTATGTGAAAAATAGTGGTTTAGCCATGGATAAAGACAGAACTAAGGCTCATTTCTGTAATCAACTCGTTGTAAATTCACGAGCTTAATGCTGAAAACTTCTAGATAAAATTATAAGTTAGAAACCTTTTGTGCCAACTAATCATTACCTTCAGGAAAGTGACTGTGCATAATTAATAACAAATGACCCTGTTAAAGAATGTCATGTCAGACCAGAAGATCTAAAGCAGTATTTTCCAATTTCATTTAGTCACAAAACTCTTTGAACGAATTGTGGAATCCCTCTCACTTGAAGTTGAAATGACAACATAACATTAAACACACAGCTGAATTTCTTTATTGGGCTATTATGGCTAAATAATTACTTAGTAATTAAATTTAACAAGAGAATGCAGCCTAACTGCCTACCTCCTGCTAACTAATTATTAACTATGTAGTCATAATAACCAAATAAAGAAATCTGATTGTTCATTTGATATTTGAAGTAATTATCAATCATAAACTCAAAACTCATAAAAAAATAATATCAGCACCTTACAAAGTGAGTACACTTCTCATCAGAAACATGCATAATTGAAAAAAATTATTCATAAAACCATGCATAAATGGTATGATGTGTACATTAAGCAAGAAGTTCTAATACAATATTTTTTAATTTAATGAAGGTTAAAAGTAACACACATTTATATTTAGAATAAAAAATAAAATATAAAGTAATTTCTTTGCTAAGTAGCAAAATCCTAATTTTTGCTTCACAAAAGACCATTTGGAAAACACTAATGTAAACCATTCGTGATTTTGAGCTTGCCATGCCAATATTTAAGCTATGTTACTTTGATAATTCACTTCTGTAATTAACAAACAGATTCTATCAAGAATATATAGTATTAAAGTAATAAATAAGAACAATATAAAAACATTTCCAGACTTTTCATTTAAAATTTATTCTGAAAAATTAACAATAAAGAATAGAAAGATTAAATTAATCTGAATCAAGCATAAAAACAAAGGAGTCACTCGGGTGAACATAATTCGAACAAGTAATCATTTAAAATAATGAACTAACTGTTTTTCTCTCCGACATTAACCAGGCAGATTTTAAAATAAGGTTTCTTTATTCAATAGAGTAAGAATATAAGAAATATACAAAATATGAATATCAAAATCTGCAGCAATCTTTATAATCAGCATTTTATTTATAAATTACTGTAGTATAATTTTCTATTTTAGGTATTTTGCTACCTGTTGATTAATTACTACCAGGTGGATTGAATAAAGGCAAAAGTCACAAGAAGAAACACAAGGAGTTTGGCGATGCTACAAGTCTGATTTCAAGATAACAAATGCAGTCAGTCAACCAAACCCAAGACGAGTGCCCAAAAGTTAGTTAACAGAGATAAATTTTAAAAAAGTTTAAAACTAGTTTGGAACAGCCGCATATACTTATTTATGATTCCACCATTTCGTTATATTATTACTTGTGATTCAGTTGATACAACTGTTCTTAAAACATATGTTGTTTAACTGACTTTTGGTTCATCCTATATATATATATACACACACACACACACACACACACATTCGTACAAAACATATGTATATATAGATGGATAAAGAACAAATTTTATTATATAACAGTCTAAAATAGAACTAGGTAAAAAGCTTCAAAACTCAATAATATGAACAAATAGAGATTCCAATATATACGAAATATGAGTGGAAACGAAAGATTGATATATAAAGGAAGAGAGAAAGAAATATTTCTGAACTCATATCGTGATTGAGCAGCAATGAATAGAATATTAAACTATGCTTCGAATTATTAATTATTTACAAAATTGGAATTATCAGTTCAATTCTGTAGATTATTAATAATTTTACAAGTACGATTATTGGATGATGATTCTTTTTTTAAAATATTCCGTATTTTGAACAGTGTAAAAAATTAAAGAAAAACTATTAGTTACGTTATTTACTTCTTTCACAAATTTCTAACACGATGTACAGTACATTATGGTCTTGTATATGCGGTGATTGCGTGTCAGNTTCTGCCGAGTGGCATTTTTGATGATTCATTAGATTTGACCTATTTTTAAAACTCATTTTGCAAAGATCACATTCAAAAGGTCTCTCTCCGGAATGCCATTTCTGATGCTGTATCAAGTCGGACTTATTCTTAAAGCTTTTCTTACACAGCTCACATTCAAATGGCCTCTCTCCAGAATGGTAACTTTGATGTCGAGTCAAGTTTGATCTGCTCTTAAAACTTTTTTTGCAAAGCTCACATTGAAAAGGTCTTTCTTCAGAATGAGTTTTTTGATGCTTTGTTAAATGTGATCTGCATTTAAAGCTCTTTTTGCAAAGCTCGCATTGAAAAGGTCTGTCTTCACATTGATAAGTTTGATGCTGTATTAGATCTGATCTATTCTTAAAACCTGCTTTGCAAAGATCACATTCGAATGGCTTCTCATCGAAATGAAAACTAAGATGCTGTGTTAAGTGAGACTGGCAGATAAAACTCCTTTCACAAAGCTCGCATGGATACAGTCTCACTCCCGAATGGTTTTTTAGATGATTTGTAAGATCGGATTCAAACCGAAAATTTATCTTGCAGATCTTGCAGTAGAAAGGATTCTCTCCAATGTGAACTTTTTTGTGTCTTTGTAAGTGGGCATTCAGGAAAAATCGTTCTTTACAGATATTACAACTGTATGTTCTTTTTCCAATGTGAATCAGTTGGTGAGTTCTGAAGAAAAATTGGTTTTGATAAATCCTTTTACAAAATTCACATTGAAATTTCTTTCCGGAATACAGCATTATACATTTTTTCAAATAATCTTTCCTTGTAACTTTTTTCTTACATAGTTTATATTGATAATATTTCTTTTTTGTATGAAGTGCTATATGCAGTTTTAATTTAAGTTTAAAACCAAATTCCTTTTGGCAAATGTTACATTTAAAATGTTTTTCCGGCTTTTGTATGATATCATTGATATTGCAATCGAGTGGTATTATTTCATCGTCTTCGTCCTGTAATTCAAATCCTGCAAGTAAAATATGTTATATTAATAGTTATTGTGTATTAATCATAAAAATTTTAATAAAATTATACTCAAGCTTTAACTGAACATAATTATTGGATTTTGAATGGTTCTTTTTCTGTGAATTTTTTGTTAACTATGTATGTATGTTTGTATACATAAACCACCTTTAATCCAACAGTAGCTTACAACAAACTAACATCTTTTGATGCCTCAATTGGTTATCATCATCAGTGTAATTTACTACTGAATTAAAAGTTATTGTATTCAAACTGAGACATCCAATTTGTTTATATCTATTGTAAATATGCACATATGAACCATTTGAAATCCAAAAGTTGGCCTAAAGACTATTTGTAGCAAATTAAAATAAACTATTTGCTTATATAATTTATTTTAATTAATCATTTAAATTATATTACTAATCAAATAACAAGCTGAATTTATTACTCTGCAATGTTTTTTGTTATTAATGTACAGTTACGTTATTTACAATAATGAAACTAACTGTAGGATATACAGGTGTTGCAAGTTCAGCTCCTGCTCTGGATCGATCTTTTCTTCCCAAATATTCTAAATGAATTAAATTTAATTCTAATTATTAAAATTAATACAAATGCTCATCTTTAGCCCAAATTACACAGCATTTGTATATTTAATTAGGCAAACTGTAGCCCGAAAATAAATCTAGCTTGTTACTCGATTGATTTAATTAAATCTTCAACAACTTAAAATAATAATTCTACAACAAATTTTAGATGATCATCAAACTTACTTCAAGGACTTGAACTAGGTTTTAAAATGTTCTAAAATCACTAATTATATAAATGACAAATCAAAATATAATAATTATATATCAAATTGACAATAATTTTCAAAACTGGTTTCATTTTTTTCAGTCAAATTCATATTAAAATAAGATTTTATGACTGGAAATAAAATTAATATAAGAAATAGCTGACTTTAATTTTGTATCTAATTGTCAATTTAACTTTACAGTTCGATGAAAGTTTCATGAATATTGAAAGTCTGAAATCAACTGATCTAAGAGAATCAGAAGATGAAGAGTCTTAGCTTTGAAAACAATACTCCAAAATAAATAACACTTCTTAATACATTACTAATTCATTGTATATTGTCAGGAAGTTCTGACATGTTACAATATTCATTTCAGTTAAACGACTAATCCAAGTTTTACTTTTTCAAGATACTATTCGTCCAAGCAATTTATATCGAACTTATACCAATTACAATATAAAAAATATTTTAATAATTAAAAAATGTCTGACTGTCCTAATTTATTTTCCCAATAATTGTTATTTGTAATCATTATTAAATTTTATGAAGTTAAAAGCAATTAAGAAAACTTTAAAAATTTTTAAAGAAAAAGCTTTTAGCAATTCATTTTCTTATAAAAACTAAGCTAGTTTGCTTCAACTTTATACACAATACAGTTTGTAGTTTAGAGGACGCTGATAGTAAAATTATCTCTCTAAACACGAGATCGGCAAAATTTGCCCTTATCTGTTTGAGAGAAATTGACTGAAAGGAAATTTGTTTGACCGGTTTTGCTA